CCCACCCACTAGAGATACAGTTGCTAGGAAACTGGACCCTCCCCCTAGGGAGGGACACCTGGTCATGGTCAATGGTCTGGGAACCTTCCTATAGCCAATCGATTCAAAATGTAGCATCTTGACCAATAGATGCTTGCCAGGCAGGAATTGCCCCTGCCTTGGGTATGCTGGGAGGGACCAGAATCTATAAATCACCCAACTAACCTGGGGACGCGCGCTCAGCTCCCACCGCTTTGGCGGTGGGGCTGTGTGGGCCCAAGCTGCAGCTTATAATTTACAATAAAAAGACCCTTGTGTTTTGCAACGGAGTCCTTTCCTGTAGATCTTTTGGGGGCTCGCGAACTGGGTATAACACTAGTATGGCCATTAAGACCAGTTTACAGTATCTAACTGGTCCCAAATCTTCCAGCAAGCCTGTTCAGGCCCATCACATCAGTATCCCACTTCATGGTACTGTCTTAGTCCCTGTTCTATTGCTGTAAAGAAACACCATGACCATGACAACTCTTTTTTTCTTTTTAAGATTTATTTATTTATTTTTGTATTTGAATGCTCTGTTTTCATACACACCAGAATTGGAAATCTGATTCCATTACAGATGGTTGTGTACCACCATGTGGTTGCTGACAATTGAACTCAGGATCTCTGGAACACTATCCAATGTTCTTAACTGTTGAGCCATCTCTCTAGCCCCTCTTTAAAAAAAATAATAAAATAAATTATTTATTTATTATGTATACAGTGGTCTGCCTGCATGCCAGAAGAGGGCACCAGATCTCACTCTAGATGAAATTCCCATGTGGTTCCTGGAAATTGAACTAAAGACCTCTGAAAGAGCAGCTAGTGCTCTTAATCTCTGAGCCATCTCTCCAGCCCCACCATGGCAACTCTTACGAAAGAAATTATTTAATTGAGTGCTTGCTTACAGTTTCAGAGGTTAAGTCCATTATCATGGTGGAGAGCATGATGATAGACAGGTGCAAGAGCAGTAGCTGAGAGCTATATCCTGATCTGTAGGCAGAAAGAAAGAGCTTAGGGCTGACATGGGCTTTTGAAACCACAAAGTCCACTCCAAGTGACACCCTTCCTCCAACAAGTCCACACCTCCTAATCCTTTTAACCCTTTCAAATAGTACCACTCCCTGGTGACCAAGCACTCAAATATATCAGCCATTCTTATTCAAACCACCACAAGTACTGAGTCCTTTTAACTGCTAAACTATCTCTCCAACTACCTAAATTAAATTTTTGAAGGAGTTTTAAACCAGGCTTGGTGGCACATGCCTTTAATCCCAGCATCAGGGAGGCAGAGGCAAGCAAAGAGCTCTGAGTTCAAGGTCAGCCCAGTCTACAAAGCAAGGACAGTCAAGGCCACATAGAGAAATCCTGTCTTGAAAAACAAAACAAAACAAAACAAAAAGTCTTTTAGTATAAAAACCCCCACCCTGAACTTTGTGATCTTTTAGTTTTGGATGTATAACTTGCATTTCCCAGACTTAAGTTCTTAAAATGCTAGCTTATATGACTACTAAGCATTCCTTTAAACCAATTTTTAAATTTTTATTTTACTTCTAGGGATGTTTTGCCTGCATGAATGCATCACATGTATACATTGCCTGCAGAGTCTAGAAGAAGGTGTTAGATTTTCTGGAACTAGAGTTAGACAGTTGTTAGCCACCATGTAGGTGCTGGGAACTGAACCTCGGTCCTCTGCAAGATCAGTCAGCACTTTTAACCCTCTCTCCAGTCCCTCTATATGATTTCTAGATCATTACCTGATCATGGTTTATAGTCAGGTATGTTTAACTATTATTTCTTTTTAGACTCACTATTTTGTCTTTTTATTTGTTTGTTTTGCTTTTCAAGGCAGGGTTTCTCTGTATAATAGCCCTGGCTATCCTGGACTTGCTTTGTAGACCAGACTGGCCTCCAACTCACAGAGCTGTGGCTGCCTCCACCTCCTGAGTGCTGGGACTAACAGCTTGCACCATGCACCACTGTGCCCAGCCACTGTTTTGTCATATCTACCCAAAAGTTTAAAATGTTGTATATATTTACATAATTGGATCGTTTGAATTTAAACATGTAAAGTCTAGAATATATGATTTCTCAGAGATTTTATTATCATTTTATGACACTACTAATGTTAATTCTTTTCTCACTTTACTAGGAAAAGTGGGTTGAAGTTGCTTCAATGAAAGTGCCTAGAGCAGGCATGTCCGTTGCGACAGTCAATGGTCTTCTGTATGTTTCCGGAGGCCGATCTTTCAGCCATGATTTCTTGGCGCCAGGTACCTTGGACTCAGTTGAAGTTTACAACCCTCATTCTGATACATGGACAGAAATTGGTAATATGATCACTAGTCGTTGTGACGCGGGTATTGCTGTGCTATGACAGAGAAAGCATAAAAGCATAAGAAACATTTTGAAAATGTAGGTTCTGACCTTTTGCAAATCAAACATATATTTGTGATGTGATCCTCTGGTTTTTTTGAATATTCCATGTATTGAATAGATAGATGAATAAAGATTGATTTTTCTAAAAATTTGAATTAGAATGGAATGAATAGAATGTCTTACATTAATAAAGGACTCATACAAATTTGCAAGGCTTAGCAGCAATAGAGATGGTTTTATGCCTTACAGTTGTTCAGTATCCGTAGAATCTTAATTGAAAAATTGTTTGCTAGGAGCTTCTGGGAAATAGTTCCTTTGACTATTTCTCTAGTGCAATTCAACATAATCTCCATTAGACAGTTTAAAGATTTCTATAATTCACGATTTGGTCCAGAACATAGTTTCTATACTGTCATTTAACCTACAGGGAAAAACCAGTGAAACTGTCCCTCAATGGCAGGAGTTTTCACTACCCCCAAATATTTTATTGGCAGCAGGATATTAGAAAGGCCTTTTTTTTTTTTTTTAAGCTAGGGTTTCTCTGTGTAGCTCTGGCTGTCCTGAACTCACTTTGTAGTGCACAGAGATCCGCCTGCCAAGTTTTGGGATTAAAGGCATATGCCACCATACCCAGCTAATAGCTAAATTTTGTTTTGCTTATTTTTAAATTAAGAGTACTCTATCTGCATGTACACCTGCACACCAGAAGAGGGCAACAGATCCCTTTATAGATGGTGAACTACCATATGGTTGCTGAATTGAACTCAGGATCTGTGGAAGAGTAGCCAGTGCTCTTAAGCACTGAGCCACATCTCCAGCCTTTTTATTTTTTCAGACAGGGTCTCTCCATGTAGCTCTAACTGTTGTGGAACTTTCTACATAGAGATCTGTCTGCCCCTGCCTCCCAGGTGCTGGGTTAAAAGCCTGTGCCACTATGCCCAATAATATCTACCCATTGAAATAGGTACATTTATGCTTTTGATAGTTTAAGTGAATATTTCGTTTTGATTCTGAGAATGCAAGTAAGGAATTAATAGGTTCTTGGTGAAAGTTCATTTTTTAAAAGTAGTTTTACTTATTTTTTATTTATATGGATGTGTCTCTGCATGTGTACCATGTGTATACAGACATCTGTGGAGGCCAGAAGACTCTGTAGTATCCCCTGGAACTGGAGTTACAGGAGCTTATAAGCTGCCTGATATGGTTGTTGGGAACCGAACCATAGGTCCTTAGAAAGAGTGGCAAGTGTTCTTAACTTCTGCGCCACCTCTTTAGTGTCTCTGATGACAGTTATTTTTAAACATATGTGTGTGAGTGCTTTATCTGTAGTTTTGTCTGGGATCTGGAATTATAGATGTTTGAACTGCCATGTGGGTGCTGGGGTCCTCAGGAAGAACAGCCAGTGCTCCTAACCGCTGATCCATCTCTCCATCTCCTTGATGACAGTTTTTTTTGTTTGTTTGTTTGTTTTTGATTTGGTTTTGGTTTTTTGAGAGAGGGTTTCTCTGTGTAGCTCTGGCTTTTCTGAACTCACTTGGTAGACCAGGCTGGCCTTGAATTCGCAGAGACCCACCAGCCTCCACCTCCCAGAGTGCTGGGATCACAGGTGTGCACCACAGCTCCTGGCTTGATTGAAATAGTAGGGAGTGTATATGAGTCCCCAGGCATTATTACTTAGCTGTTTATTATTTTCTATGCAGTAACTGGGATTCTTTGTGTAGTTTTGGGAAGAGTGACTTTTGTTAGATTATCAAACTTTGTTTAATTTACTTGTATTTGGGTAAGGCCTATGTAAAAGCTTAATATAGTGCTTCTGCCTGTTATTGGAAAACGCTGAGTTGTAGTTACAACTTTTGTTTGTGTGGTGGTGGTGGTGGTTTTGATTTTTTTTTTTTTTTTTGAGACACTCTAAATATGTTGCCCAGGTTATCATTGAACTCTCAACAATCTTCCCATTTCAGACTTCCAAGTGCTGGGATAACAGGCATGAGCCACCATATTTGGCCCTGTAGGTATAGTTTTGAGCATCCTTAATCTGAAATCTGAAGTTTTTGAATGCTGACATCCAATTAAAAAAAAAAGTTTGAGATTTTGGATCATTTTAAATCTCTGATTTTCAGACTGGGGATGCTCAGCTGATAAGTGCTACGTAAATATTTTAAAATCTGGTGATTCTGAAGTCCAAAACGCTTCTAGTCCCAAGCATTTCATATCTTTATCAGGAATTTCGCCTATACATGTGGAATTTTTCTTTTTAAAGATTTATTTATTATGTATACAATGTTCTGTCTGCATGTACATGTGCATGACAGAAGAGGGCACCAGATCTCATTCTAGATGGTTGTGACCCACCATGTAGTTGCTGGGAATTGAACTCAGAACCTATCTGGAAGAGCAGCCAGCCAGTGCTCTTAACCTCTGAGCCATCTCTCCAGCCCATGGAATTTTTTTTATGCATGAAAATTGTGTAAGTTATAACTATCTTGGATCTAAAACTGCTTCTAAAAACTTGCTTTCCCTGATAATCATTCTTAAAAGTTGTTTTATGCTGAGCTCTGAAGTCTGATCACTGCTTTTATATCTGCTAGCCAGTTAGAACCACACTATTGAGGTTTGCATACTTTAGGTTTATCTGGCTGCCTCAAGGTTATGATTTTTCTCTCTTGTTTAAACTAAGGTCTTTCAGCGGATTGTTAGAAACATCAACACTTTAATTGTATAAAATCTTTGATCAGCATTAAACATTAGTTATACAGCCATCTGTAGTGAGATCTGGTACGCAGGTACACATGCAGGCAGAATGCTATATAAATAATACATAAATAATAAATAAATAAATCTTAAAAAAAAAACCAGAAGTTCCCTTAAAAGTTAACTAAATGTATATTATTTCTCAGGTGATAAACATTGTTTTTCCAAGAATGTACTAATAAAGTCCTATTTTCTTTTCTTTGAATTAATGTAGTTCATTAGTGTAATTGGATTACCAAACCATAATGGGAATAATCTTTTGTTTTTAATTTTTGTAATGTACACATTTAGTTATATAATCAGAACTTAATTAAAGCGTTTTCTCCAAAATGTTTGGGTTTCTGTGTGCTTTTAAATATTCTGCCCGTTTTATGTGTGGTGTTAAATGTGTGTTACAACAAAACCTTCCTTGTATTGTCAGCTCCCAGTGGAGTCATTGGCCGGCCACTGGGGTCCTTTCAAATAAGGGAGCAGAAGCATCGAATTTGGGATGTGGTGGCCATGAACACGAACAGAAATGAGCTTCCAAGATCAACTTCAGGGAGGCAGCTCAATGTATTCAGGGTGAATGAGGGTTGTCTAGAACTTTGGGGAAGGGATGGGCATGTCCAAGGTGGGCAAATGTCATTGGCTGAAGTGCTAAGGTACTGAGATGCCTTATTTACATGGAGAGAAATTCTAGGAATCCCAGAAGTTTGCTGGGTAGGCTCTTATCAGGAGAAAGGAAATTGGACCTGTAATTTTCCAAAGTACTACATAATATTCTTTGGGTAGAGGCATGGGGGTTCAGATTCCCCAGGCAGAGAGGAAGCCTCTCTGAGAAAGGGAGTCCTCCATTTGGCACCAAGCTCAGGGCTCTCTGGTAATGGCACACTGTGCCCTTAGCAGCAGAGTTTCCCGACAGATCCACATAGAATAGACCTTAATACTGTGTTAACCTTGAACCAGTTGTGTGTGGGGGTTAAGATGTGTACACCAGTAAGTTTTTTTTTTTAATGTACCATGCCAAGAGTATTATGTAAATACGCTTTCCCAAAGTTGATGCAGAACTTGAGTCTTCAAAAATTCAAAGTGAGAGCCCAGTGTGGTGGCAAATGCTGTAATCCCAGCACTCGGAGGCAGAAGCAGGTGGATCTCTGTTAGTTCAAGGCCAGCTTTGTCTACAAAGTGGTCTACAAGGCTGTATAGAGAAAACCCTGCCTTGAAAAAAAAAAAAATCAAATGTGTATGTATGTATATAACTATATCTGACCAATAATAGCATCAATAGCAACAATGGCTTTTCTTGGTTCTACAGTCATCTGAATAGACATGTTCCATTAAAAATCCCATCTGTTACTGTTGTGATACCTACTACATTTTTTATTAGCTTTTAAATCAACATCTGGAAAGAAAAGATTATTTTAATGGTTAACATTAAAACTAGCTCTGAAAAGCAGTCACTATGTTGACAGTGGGAATTACTAGAAACATAATGTATGTGTATATACATGTGTGTTGTGTAATATATTACATAACATTTTTAAACTGGTATTTGACTACTTGTATCATCAAAGATAAAACATTCAAAGTGACATAATTTCTTCTGATTTAACTTAATTTTCTTTGATCCTCCTGCCTTGACCTCCCAAGTGCTAGGATTGAACACTTGTGTTACTATTCCCAGTCTTTAGGGTACTGGGAATCAAACTGAGGGCTCTGTGCATGATAAGCAAGTATTCTATCCACCAACCTACATTCCCAGATTCCAAACTAGGTTTTCAAGTTAAAATTCAAAGTGTTAGGCTGGGGATGTATTGCTCAGTAGCAGTACTTGTATAGAATGTATGAGGTACTACGTTCAATCCTTAGTGCAACGGGAGGAAGAAAAACAGAAATCAAAGCAATGTTTTTTGCCATTTTTATTTATTTGAGACAGGACCTCTCTATGTAATACTGGCTTTTCTGGAACTTGCTAAGTATATCAGGCGGATCCATAGTGTCCACCAGGCCTGGTCACATTTTAATATTTTAAAATTTTATTTTTTATGTGTATGGGTGTTCTGCCTTCATGTATGTCTGTGTACCACATATGTGCCTTGTGCCTAAGGAGGCCACATCCAAACCCTTGGAACTCTACTTGTTAGCACAATGTGAGTGTTGGCAATTGAACATGGGTTCTCTCTCAGGGAAGGGACACTAAGCCATGTCTCTAGCCCTATAGCTATTATTTTAAAAGCCTCTGTAAGCTAAGTGCGGTCCGAAAACACCAAACAAAAGCTAAGACAGATGACCAGCTTTTCTGGGAGAGTGGCTTTCCCCACGACACTGTTGCCCACCACCTTTCAAGCCACAGATCATTTCAGTTATGTCAAGTAAAATAAGCTTTGACAAGACAGGTATAGTGGCACAAACCTTTAATTCCCGCACTTGGGAGGCAAAGACAAGCAGATTTCTATGTCTTCCAGTCTAGCGTGGCCCACAAAGTGATTTCCAGGACTTAGACTTGCAATTTCCAGTGCTATGAAAACTTGACAGAAATACCTTTATTTTCAAGGTTTTGTGGACTTCATTGTGAAGTAGGGTTCTTTTCATTATTACTTCATGATTGCTAGACTCTACTAGAGGATTTTTCATCTTGTCTTTTACTGTTCTCAATATAATCAAAATACTAACGTTTAAGAAGGTGATTGTATAGTTCACAAAAAGGTGATTTAAGCTAACCACATATGTTACAATAAGAAATTAGGAGATTTTTCAAGATGAATTACTTAGAAATAATTTTTATAATCTCAGCACTCTGTAGCCAGAGGCAGGCAGATCTCTGTAACTTTTTTTTCCCCCAAGATGGGATTTCTGTGTGAAGCCTTGGCCATTCTAGAACTCTATTTGTAGACTAGGCTGGCCTCAAACTCTGAGATCCATCTGCTTCTGCCTCTTAAGTGTTGGGATAAAGGAATATACCTCCACTATCTGGCTAAAAATTAAGTTTTAGAAATGAAAAAAAAAAAAAGAGGAATAAATTCCTACCAATGGGAGGAAACAAAAAAAGCCAAACAAGAGGAACAAAAGTATATGCTAAAATGCAACTTCACAAGCTAGAGATAGAAGGCTCAGTGGCCAAGACCATATATTGCCATACATACCCATGTTTAGCTCCCAGCTCAGAACTGCCTGCAACTCTAGCTCCTGGGGATCCCACACCCTCTCCTGGCCTCCAAAGACACTGCACTCTCTGAACATATTCCCCACAACATAACAACAAAAAATTTTATCGTTAAAAACATGCAGGTTTATAAGATTTATAGCTAACATGTAAATAATATCAAGAAAGTAGTTTTATATTTCTATTTCACCAAATCTCTTGGGCCCTTTTTCTGGATAAATATTTTTAAGTATTAAAGTGACTACAAATGAGACAAAAGCCACTAAAGTACTTATGATCCTTAAGGCTTTGAACCAGTTAGGATAATGTGGCAAGAGGAAAAGTTCATTGTGTAATGCTATCCCTAAACCTATTGTTACTGTGACTATGGCTTCGCTGAGTCTCTCAGAAAATAGGATGGCTATCCATGAAAACAGAACAGGACTCATACTACTAGTTAAATTAATGTAGTCTGGTTTGGCTGGACTACTTTCTGGCAGAACAAAGCCCCATCTGACCCCTCCTAAGAAAGCTAGGAAACTGGCTCCATACGCCATCTGAGTAAAAGCTAGTATGGGGATATAAGACTTGGTTATTACCATGATGAGTGGTGGAGCAATAAAGGGGATTAACCCTCCCAGAGTTAGATATAAGGCTGGCTTCGGGCTATCAGGTAGGTAAGTGATGGTGCTTGGTTTCCTGGAGGGAAGGACTGCCTCCTTCTGCTTTTTAAATTTGCATGGTGATACATGATAGCATTGTATCTTCTTCATACACACTTGAAATGATGTGGAAAGCCAAGTCCTTGGCGACAAAGGAAAAAGGTTCTGCTGAAGAGATGTCTTGGGAGAAAGAATATCTATTCTGCTGGCTCTGAGTCTCACTGTAAAAGGGTACTTCAGCACCTATAAGGGAAAAAGAACCAGGAGACAAAGTTTAAAAATAAAAACGTGGTGCACAGATATGCAGGCAAAACTGCATATACATAAAATAATAATTTTGGGGTTGAAGAGATGGCTGAGTGATTAAGAGCACTGACTGTTCTTCCAGAGGACCCAGGTTTTTATTTCCCCCCACACACTGTGGCTTACAACTACCTGTAATTCAGTTCCAAGATCTTATACCCCGTCTGGCCTTCACACACACTGAATGCAGGCAGTACACAGACACGCATGTACCAACACACATAAAAGGAATTATTTTTAAATTAAAAAGAACAGCTATTTAAGAGTGATGGGAAACCCTCAAAACATGTTGGGAATGCTTTCACATTGGCCTTTACTCCTTTTGTCTCTAGTTAGAATGCTTTCTCTTCAGCTACTTACATGGCCATTCCTTCATTTCTAACCCTTCTATGTTATGCAATACTGTCTATTTTATGGTAGGATTTATTATTTAAGTGTGTGTGAGTGCCCTCAGAAACCTTCAAGTCCTCTAAAGCTGGAGTAACAGTGGTTATAAGCTACCCAACATGGGTGCTGGGATCAACCTAAGGCCTCAGCAGTTATACACTTTCAACAAGGCTGAGCTGTGTCTCCTGGTCCTCTCTACTCTTGATATTCCTTATTCTCTTGATGTATAGTTCTCCACAGCAGTTACTACTTGATACAGTAAATATTTTACTTCTTTATAATTTACCCATTGTTCTCCTTCCCCACTTGAATATATGATCTATCTATGTGTCTATGTATCTATCTGTCTCTCTCTCTCCCTTCCTCCCTCCCTGTTCCTGCTATAAGGAGACAGTTATTGATAAAGAGTGTTCAACTAACCTTTGAAGATGCTCCAGAAAATTTCTGGATGAAGTGAAGCATACTGGTCTCTACTTTTCGCAAAGATGCAGTTCTGATTCATGTATTTTTACAGCTAAGTGAATGGCTGAATTTAAAGCAAAGGTGCTAATACAGAAAACAAAATATCAATTAATTGTCCTTTTATATATTTATTTTACAAAAGTAATAACTCATGAGACTCTCTTCGATGAAACACGATTTATTTTGAAAATATTCTTTCCCTGAAGAGTAACACATTAATGAAATAAGATTTTTTTTTTTTTTTTTTCCTGGAAGAAAATAGTTTGGGCTGTTTGGTTTAACAAAAAGAGCAATGTGCAGAAACTGAACATCTGGATTTAGCAAACATATCTACCACATTTTTTAGGCCAGTTTTCTCATCTTTAAAACTGACGGTCATACCTTTGGTTCCCATTAATTTTCTATCTTCTTTAGTTAGTCTATTTCGGGGCTTAGGAATTCTTACACTTATTAATAATAGCAGCCACAAATTTAGCCTTTTTGTGAACCAGGCGATGTAACTGTATATTCTCTATACAGTCTCCATTTTTTGGAATTCCGTATCACGTGTTTTTGAATTTGGGAGTATTTAAACGAAAGTGACAGGTTGAACCCCAGAGACGGAAGGTGATTCGAACATTAAGGGCTTAAAGCCCACGGTCAATCCGCCCAATCTATGTGAAAATGCTCAAATATTTTCATTTCGCCAATTTACCAGCTACACACTGGGAGCCTCAGCAGACAATTCACGGAGAGCAGCGGGATTTAGGCGCAAGGGCCCTTCAGACGCCGGAGCTGACAGTCTGTCTCCACCTACCGCCCCTAATGACCCCCACCACCTCTTTCCCAGTGTCCTTAAAAGCCCTGGTACTTACTTGCCACCATCACGCGGCGGAAAAGTTGAATAAACACAACCACAATCACAGAAACAGCACTTCCGGCCATGGACTAACACAGCCCCCACTTCCTGAGGACTGAAAAATGAGTCCGGCTGGGAACTACGGTAGCAAGTTCCGACTCTGCACTTTCTGGTTTTGTGCACTTTGCTCCCTCAGTTGTTTTTACCTGTGTCTGTTCGTGCACTCGAGTGCGTGTACCCACCGAGGCCAAAGGCTTGGGTCGCCCGCAGTTTAGCGCTGGGAGGTGAATTGGGATTTTCTGTAAGAGTTCGGCGCTTTTGCCCACAGAGCCACCTGTGCAGCCCCGGAGGCTGGGCTAAAATATTAATCCTAATTCTGGTCGGCTTTAAGGTACCTTACTAGTCTCTATTCAAGGACTCCTAACCATCAGAATATATCTAGCTGCTCAGGAAAGTAGAATACAATTTCTGAAACAATCCTAGTAATGGGAGTGGAATAAGCTAGGAGACTTGTAGTTAGACCGATGTAATTTGGCCGAATTGGTCTACGGAACTTTTTTTTAAAGACAGGATCTCACTCTACTCTGCTGACCTGGAATGCTTAACTCTGCAGAACAACGAGGCTGAGTCGACTGAACACATCTTTCTCCGCATTTGAGTTCTTTATTACTACTGGGCGGGAGTGGAGGAGCGATTTTGTTTTTATTTCCATCTCTTTACTTTTACATAGAAATTACATGGAGGAATACAGGGCCCTAGGAGCGAAATTTACAGTTCTGTGAATCAAGGTGTAGCGTTAAGGGCCTTGGAGGTCATCTAAGAAGTCACATCATTCTTGCATTTATCCACTGTGTGAGTTAGTGTAAATGTCTCCCTGTCCCCACGCCACCTCTCATCTGCCGACCAAAGGAGCAGGCACCAAGCAATTTGAGTGTCTTTGCGCAGAAAGCTGACGACTAATGGGAGAGCTCGTCTTCTAGTACAACTTCTGGGGGCGTCGGCTGTTAGTGGCGAGTAAGGCTAGGCGCCGAAGCTTTCACTTTTGCTCCCTTCTCTGGCATGGTTGTACCGCCCCTTCCTGTCAGGCAATACCCAATGGACTCCTTCTTGAAGTCTATTAGCAAAGACAGGTCCGGGCTTGAAATCCACCCTGCACCCGGGCGGCTACGTGACGCCGCCAATACCCAAGAACTACAACTCCCGGCAGGTAGCGCGCCCGGCCCCGCCGCGCATGCCTCTAGTGCGAGGGGTCCATGGCACGCCGAGGGCTGTAGCCTCAACGACGCGCGCACGTGAAAGGAGGAGCAGAAGGTGTGCCGGGGTCGGGAAACACGCTCTTCCGTAACCGGTCCGCTAAAGCTGGCGGTTGGCGCGGTGTGAGAAGGTGAACGATGAGTGGGCGGGGGAGAACTGGCACAGACATCCCCACCCACATTCACGTGCCCCCAGGCCGGAGGACCCGGCGGGGAGCTTGGCGGAAGGGAGAGCCGGGCAGCCCGCGGTCGCGCTGAAGGGCGCCGGGGGCGGGGCGGGGAGTAACCGCTGCCGGAGCGGCCCAACGTCCGCCGGCGGGCGCGGGCGCCCGAGCTGGGGCCCCGAGGCGGGCTCGTGCGCATGCGCGCGCGCCTCTGCTGGGGGGCGTGCGGGGGGCGGGCCCGGCTGGTTGTGGCTCCTCCTCCGCCCGCTCTGCCCACTCCGGTGCCTTGTGGGCCGGGCAGCCATTTTGGGAAGAGCTTTGTTATGGTTGTGGGCTAGTCACCTCTGCTGGTCGGAGAAGCTGGGGACGCGTCCTCGGCCGAAGCCCCGCCGTTGCCCGGTGAGTGCGAGTTCTGGAAGGCGAGCCGAGGGGGCCCCTCGAGTCGTGCCGGCACGGGCCCCGCGGGGGACTGGCCGTCCGCGGAGACGAGTTGGAGGAAAGTGTTGCACAGGTGGTTGGGTGGAGGTCCGCCCGGCGCGGACGGCAGGCGGCGAGTCGCCGGGTGGAACGCCGCCCTCCCCCAGCGGGAGGAGCCCCGCGTCGCCGAGGCGGTTCCAGAGCTCTCCGGCTTCAACTTCGGTGCTCGCTCGGAAAGCTCACCTGCGGCTCCGGCGCCTCCCAGGCGGTCCGCCCTGGAGCGCCCGAGAGAATTGCTTTACTCGTTTCAGTACCTTTTTTCCTTTTTTTTTTTTAATGTAATTAAGAGCCGAAGGCTTCCGTTCTCCAGTTACGAGACACTTAATGAGGAAAAAGTCCTGTAAGTCAAATACGGGATATCTGGCGGAAAGGGAACTTACACGCCCCAGGTCTGGGCTCTCCGGGGTGGTGAGACCTTTCCCTTCAGGTGGTCTAGTAGTTACCTACCAGGCTCTGCCCCATTGGGGGCGGAGGCTTGACTGGTCTTGAAGTGGCTTAACTAGTCGTTTTTATTCTATGATAAATTAAAACGAAGTACTGGATCTAAAAATGGCTGTGGCCTGGGAAAGTACGCTGTTTAAACGCGTATATATATAACATTTCAGTCGTTTCTCCCCGTGGGACGGGAACTCTTTCGGAGTTTCTGGCAGTTGGCGTCTTTGGAGAGGGTAGGTGAAAACAAAGGTGAGGCCCAGGAAGTTTACATAAGAATGGGTGCGGTTTTTTTTTGTTTTTGTTTTTTTTGGTAGTTGTGAATGGTTATGAAATTGTGCTGAGGTGTCAGTTTTGTGTACTGCTTTTGTACCCTGAGGTTGCCTTGTATAATGTGTTGAATACTTTGATATTTCTTGCTTACCCGGTAAACCGGTAGCCAGTGATGGTTCATGTTTTTTGTTCAATAATATGCCATTTTTCTCTGTAAATCTCATCAAAAATTAAAGTTACTGTTAGATCTTTGTAGACCTAAATTTGAAATTTTTTTTTTTTTAAACAAAAGTCAATCTGTTTGCTTAAGAAAAGAGCCAGAAATGTAATAGACACAATAGCAAATTTTAGTTTTTGGAAAGGAATGATTGAGTTGAAGTTACTGTCTATTTAAAAGATAAAATAGAGTGCTTATTTCAACTGGATCTTTGAATCCATTCACAAGATACTGTCATCTTTCATAGAGTTGGTTTCAATTACTTTCATACATCCTGTAAAACAGGAAAGTTTTTGTCTGTTTTAGGAATTCTATTTTTTTTTTGGTTTTGAGGCAGGGTTTCTCTGTGTAGCTTTGGCTGTGCTGGACTCACTTTGTAGACTAGGATGGCCTACTCACAGCCGTCTGCCTGCCTGCCTCGGCCTCCTGAGTACTGGGGTCAAAGGCCTGCTTCACTGCACCCACTGGAATGTTTTTTTGTTTTTTTTATGTATGTGTATGTATATTGTGCCTGCATGTATGCCAGTGTGAATGTGCCTACAAAGCCCACAGGTCAGAAGATGCCATTGAATCCTCAGGAACTGGAGTTAGAGTCAGCTGTGAACCTCCATGTGAGTGCTGGAAATCAAACCTGGGTGCTCTGGAAGAGCAAGCTGCAAGTGCTCTCAACTGCTGAGCCATCTTCAGACTCAGGAATTTTGTTGGTGGTGGTCTTTGAAAGTTCTTTCTGGAAATTACAAGTTAATTGCTTTCTGTTTTGACATTACTTAACAGTATTTGGGAGAGATTATACTTTAAATTCAGTTTTTTACTTTTTCTGAGGGTTCTCAAAATGGTTTGCATTTGTTGGTCTAACCATTTTTTCAGATCATTGTGGACAGTGTGCTTTCAGATTTCTTGAAATTAGGAAGAGGGAATGGAAAGCCTTTATTTGAATTTTTTTCTTTCTTTTATTTTTTTTAAAGATACGGTTTCGCTGTGTAGCCCTGGCTGTCCTGGAACTCACTATAGAGGAGGCTGCTTTTTGAGTTCTAGGGTTGAAGGGTGCACCACCATGCCTGGCTTTTGTTTTTTGTTTTGTTTTGTTTTGTTTTGTTTTGTTTTGTTTGGAGTGCTGCTGATTTAACAGATTGGGGGGGGGGAGCGTGTTTGTGTGTTTGTTTGTTTGTTTGTTTGGTGTTTTGAGACAGGGTTTCTCTTTGTGGCCCTGGCAGTCCTGGACTCTGTACACACAGTGAACTGCTTGCCTCTTCCTTACTGTGTGCTGTGATAAAGGTGTGTGGGATTAGAGGTGTGTGCTGCCACATTTTCTTTGTTATTCTTCTTTTTGTTTAAAACCCTAGTTGAAAAGGAGGGCGCATTCAACCATTTCAATAGTTTGTTCATGATAAATCTGGGAATATATTTTTTGTGTGTATATGTGTGTGTGTATATACGTGTGTGTGCACACACACTTTTTTTAGACATGGTCTCACAGTGTAGAGCAGTGGTTCTCAACCCTAATGCTGTGACCCTTTAATACCATTTAGTGGTTCCTAAAATTACTTTGTTGCTTCTTCATTGCTGTAATTTTCCTACAGTTCGGAATTGTAATATAAATATCTGATATGCAACCCCTATGACCCACAGGTTGAAACCAAGTGCTCTTGATAACTGAGCCAAATTTCTAGTCCCTATAATCAGTTATTTGTTGTATTTTCTAGACAGGGTTTCTCTGTATAGTCCTGACTGTCCTGTAGCCTGCTGGCCTTGAACTCAGAGATCTGACTACCTCTGCTTCTTCCCAGGTTCTGGGATCAAATGCATGTATTGCCACTACCCAGATGTATAATAATATATTTTTTTATTTATAATTATTTTTAAATCCTCATTTAAATACAGTTCTCAATCTTCTTTCAGAAGATAGCATACCTTAATTTTATGGTTTAAGACTATGTACCAGGAAGAGACTGTTGTCTAAATCCCCCCCCCCCCATTTGAAACTAATTCTGCCTGCCCTGGAACTCACTATGTAGACGAGGTTGACCCTGAACTCAGAGATCTGCCTCCCGTGGGCTATGATCAAAGGTCTGTACCACTATGCCTGTCTTAAAGTACTTTCTATTTTTTAATTTAATTAACTTTGTGAGTCGATATTGTAGGGTTTTTTTGTTTTGTTTTGTTTTGTTTTAAACCTTCCTTGCTACTGAGGCTTGATTGAACTGAGCTCCTCCTGGACTTTAAGCAAGCCCTTTTACACCTAAGTGTATTCCTAATGTTGTTATTTGAGACAAGGTCTCACTAAGGTGTCATGGCAGGCCCTGAACTGTGAACCTCCTGCCCTGTCGCCCCTCAAGTAGCTATGGTTGCATGTGTACAACATCATGCTTTGCTAAGCAGATGTTTTATTCCTTACTTTATAGTTGAGAAAAAGGAAGCTAAGACTCATTTAGCTACTAGACAATTGAGTGCGTTCAAACCTAAGTGGACTGTCATGGTACTTGACTGCTGCCTTTAACTGTGATGGGGTGTGTGTGTGTGTAATATAGTACACATAACATGCATATGTTTTTCGAGACAGGGTTTCTCTGTGCAGCCCTGATTGTCCTGGACTTGCTTTGTAGACCAGGCTGGCCTTGAACTCACAGAGATCCACCTTCCTCTGTCTCCCAAGCACTGGGATTAAGGGTGTGTCTCAACAGGCCCAGCTTGTGTATTTGTTTTTGTTGTGATTATTCTTAAGTGTTAAGGTTAAGGGTTTTTCTGTTGTGTTTTGTTTTGAGACCTGATCCCACTCTGTAGCCCTGGATGAGCTGGAAGTTGCTGTGTAGATATAGTTATATCACATGCCTCTGCCTCTAATTTTTTTTTTTTCTTAAAGATTTATTTACCATGTATACAATGTTCTGTCTGCACATACACCTGCATGCCAGAAGAGGGCACCAGATCTCATTATAGCTGGTTGTGAACCATCATGTGGTTGCTGGGAATTGAACTCAGGACCTCTGGGAAGAGCAGCCAGTGCCTCTGAACCATCTCTCCAGCCCCATCTCTCTAATGTTTTTTAAAAGTAAAGGCCTGTACTGCAACTGACCTTTGTTTGTTTGGTTTTTGCAATGATGGAGGTTGAACTGCCCCCAGTCCTGACTGTGGTAACATTAAGAGGCATGAGCCATTTTAAGGCATCCTAACAAAAAATGATTCCTAGAAAAGGTAGATTTAGGGTGGGCAAGATAGCTCAGTTGGGTAAGTGTGTGCTGCCATGCCTGAGAGGATCCAAGCATGATCCCTGAGAGCCACACGGTTGTTAGGAGAAAACTGACTCCAGTAAATTGTCCTTTGACCTCCACACACATGTGCTTTGAGTAAAAAAGAAAAGAAAGGCAAATTTGAGCTGGGGAGATGGCTCAGGTCATATATACTTGCCTCACAAGCATG